CATTAGCCTATTCCTGAGCATCTAAGGTCTCTGGGCTAGAACTGCTTGGTTAGATGACCCCTAAAGACCCTTCTACTCCAAAAATGCTTTGAATGTATGACATCCTTATATTGTTGGTGAGATGAAACATCTAGAGGCTGGAGGGGGCTGGCTGCAGTCCTGTGTACAGTACCATCAACCTTCACCCATTTTGATACCATCATTCAAAACTGGTGTTACTTTCACATGGGTTGAATTGAAGTCTCTCTTTGCTAAGTTTATGAAGTAAATTTGCTAACCCCAGTAGTCTATGCCAAGTCCCCCAGTAGCTTGTTGGGGGTACAGAGTTTTCAGACACTTACTCTCCCCAACCCCACTTATGTACCCTGCAAAAATGATATCCTAATAATGAATCATCTTTACTATCTTAACTATCTTAAGTTCGCTGGAATTTTATAGCATTAATGAAACCATGTATTAATCGATCCAATATTTTTTGAGCCAAGAACTGTGCTAGGCATTGCTGGGAAGGCTACAGAGGTATATAAAATGTAGCTTAATTGCGTTTCTACAAAAACATGTTTTAGCGGGTCAACCTTTGCAAATAGTGTGCATTACAGAGGTGTCGTTCCTATTCTCATTTCTGGGGAAACACAGATGAGAGATGAGCAGAAGAGAGAGAATAAAAGAGAAGATTAGGGCAATGAGGAGCTGCTCGTTGCTGCCAAGGAAATAAACCCAGTAAAGGCGTTAGGACATTGGGCGTCTGCTTCCTGAGGCTGCGGGCGGCCTCAAGCTCACCTGTTGGGCATCATTAGTAGAGGTATAAAAAGAGATGCTGACTGCAGACCAGAAATGCTTCAATAAGTCTATTCCACAATATTTATTGCCTGTCTACCACATGCCAAGCGCTGTGTGGGGTATAATGCCAAGTAAGTCCCGGTTCTTGTCTTCAAGGAATTCTCAAGTCAAAGAAGCCACACAGGGAAATGCACATCCCTGGGGGAAAGTGCCACAGGAGCACCAGGCAGCACAGAGGAGAGAACGGCTAATTCTGCCTGTCATGGTAATGGAGGCCACCTTACACAGGAAATGACATTGAGGCTGGGTCTTGAAGTTTCAGCCTGATGATAAGGGCGCTCCAGGCATGGAGAGCCACCTGGGCAAAGCTGTGAACGTTCATAGAGGTGGCTGGACTTGAAGGGAGGGCGAAGGTGAAAAACTGAAGGTCAGACTAGGATTAGGCCAGACCGATAATTCCCAGATTGAGAAAAATCTAGTATTGTTGTAAGGCATCGCTTTACTTAAAATATTTACGTAAATTTCCCCCAGGACTCAGGTGGGGTGTGGCCCTCAGGTGACTATCCGAGCCAATGAATAGACAGACATAATCCCCCAAACCACATTTTAGATATTGACAGGTAATAGGTAAGAAGTTCTATTTTTTATTTTTGAAAATAATCCTGGAATTCTTATTAATTGCCACTTTTTATATAACACAGGACATACAAGTACTTTTAAAAATTGAACATGTTTCAAATCTGTTACAGGACTAGTCATTTTATAGGAACAATGTATGCCATCAAAATCATATTTATTAATGTGTTAATAACTATCTGTTGCTCTGTTAAGACTTTTATCATTGGGCTCGTTAAGTATTAGGTTGTTGGAAAAGTCATAACGTATTTTTTCTATGTTTTCATTGCAAAAATGCGTCATGACTTTTCCGGCAACCCAATATATGTGAAGAGCAAGATAATTGTGTTGACAATGAAATATATGAATGAATAAAGAAAACATTGTTAATGTTGTATGGATGACTATTACATTCTGACAAAAGTATCTAGGTTGAGTCAACTAGGAAGTTAAATAAAGGAAATTAGATTGTGAGATCGTGGTGTGTGTGTGTGTGTGTGTGTGTGTGTGTGTGTGTGTGAGCGAGAAAGGGAGAAAATGGGACAGAGATACATTGAGAAGAGAGGCTTGGAAAATAAGTTTCTTGAGGTTATTTTGTGACAGCAAATGTCAGTTAAAAAACTAAAGCAAGAAAGGTACAAAGATAAACTATCAAGAGTTATATAAATGAAGAAAGGAAATTTTGGAAGTTTGAGAAAGACAATGCAAGTAAATAAAAGATGCACAAGTAAGTGTGTCTATATAGTATACAGTATACATAATATGCATTGCTGAATTTGTATACTATGCAATAAATATTTATAAAGCAATTGCTATAGACAGGCATATGCATGGTTATTTTTTCCTGTCTTGGCATTTTTACTATATCTCCATGCATTTGACAGAAGAAAAGTTGTAGAATTTCCCACAATGATTTGAATTTTTTCCACTATATTATAATTGTGTGGGGGTAGTTTTTATGTTTTTAAATATATCAAATCAGAAGTAGGGTACATGGGTGAGTTTTCCCAAACACCCAATAGCTGTCTGTTTTGTGAATGAGTGCTGCCATCATTTTATCTCAATCCAGTGCACACTCTCAGAATTTAAATCTGAAACATACTACTTGATTTATTCATTTATTCATTATTTTCTATTGGACCTCAGATGTGGTGAATGTGTTGGTCGTACTCTTCAGTTCATGGCCCCTCCGTCTCTATTGGTTTATTCAAGGACCTTTTAAACTGTTATTCTGTTTTTTTCCCCTTTCATCCCCCTTCTATTTCTTGCCTGTGCCCCATAAGTCCCTGCTTCTGTGTTTTTAATGTATGCCTTTTCAATTCACTTCCTATAAGTTTATTACATAGAGTTGGTGTAGGTGGGAGGGCTGGTCAGAATGGCAACGCACACTGAAGTCAAGTTCCTTTGACCTTGTTTAACTGACAAACCAGGAAACGAGTAAAGCAGCAGTGTAGAAGGTAACCACCTGGAGAAGGAAACGTGGGCACTGCATGGCTCCCTGGTGCCTGCCTTGTTCTCATCATGGAGGCTGGACTGTGAGGTTGGATGGTCCTCTCCCTCCCCTGAAGAGTGAGGCACTCTCTAGATCACAGGAGGTCAGAACGGTGGGCTCACTGCCTTTTGTTCCTGTTTGGCCTAGAGGATCACTCCCAAGGTTAGAGATAAAGTTGCTTTAGACCTGCTGAGCCCAATCTGTAGACTCCGCCACCATCTAAGGGGAGATGGGGTCGGGGTGGCCGGGCGGGAAAGAGGAACCTACAGCTTCACCTTGAAATGAAAGGCTTCTGTTCAGTAACTGGCAATATTCTTTTTTTAGATATTTCCCCAGATTCTTGTCATGCTATCCCCTGTTGAAGGAGAGGAAAGAGTTTTTATGGATTAATATTTAATGAGCCTCAAAGCTTGGCAGAAGCCATGAGATCACCCACGATCAGTGTGACTTGACCCTATAGACCCACAGGCTTCCCGTGTGTCTGCCACCCGTGTCTACTTAGATCCTTTCCAGAGAAGTGCTACGGGACCGTCACAAGTTTATCATTTCGTGTGCATAGTATTCTCCCAGTGCATGGAACAAACAGCTTAAACATCTACTGGAGAAGAGACAGAAACAAGCAGAATTGGGGAGGGGCCAGGCTAGGAAAGGCATCATTTTAAAGCTCTGACTCAGTTATTTTTCTATCGAGTCACTTTTCAGTCTGAGTTTTCAGCTCTGTCAGCACCGCAGGGGTCACTGGGGACAGCCACTTTGACTCTTGGAAACTGAGCTGAGGGTGTAGTTGCTGTGGCAGCTGGTGTTAGAGTGTGACTGGACGAGGCCCAGTCTCAGCTGTGCCTGTGGTGACAAGGAGACTGCTGTGGCCCCCACCCACTTCCCTCTCCTCACTTTTTCCTACTTACTGATCAAAAGACCCCACATGGTAGCCTCCTGGAGGAGGCAAGGGAGTTGTGAGAGGCCAGAGGAGGAACGGGTGAAGGAGGGAGTGAGGAAGGTTCATCACCTGCACTGCAATGTCCAGTGCTATGTCCGGTACCATATCCCCAACAGCACACACAGCCAATGCCTAGGACTGGATAGGTACCTATGACTGGAAACATAGGGGTGACTCATAGGGGTGACTTGGGCAGGTGGTGCTCATTGGAATGCTTCTATAATTTCACTGTCAGAGAGGTTACCGTTCCCTGCCATTTTGTGAACAGACTGTGCAGAGAATCGCGATCAACTGGGCCACAAGGAAAATCAACCAATCAGAACTCAGCAAGGCCTTCCTTACAGGCTATCTGCACCCAGATGTGTGGGCTCCCACCAGCTAACGGAACCCTATAACAAACTCGTGGTAGCAGATGGGACACTTCTAAAAGTGGCACAGAGTAATTGAAAAAAAAAAAAAGAAGAAGAAGAAAAAGACCAGTAACCCATGAATGGCAAGCAATTACAAAATATTGTTTAATTTATTGCAAGAATATTTGCAAGTGGGAGAGGATGGAACATGGCAGACAACCTCACCCAGTGTATTCCAATAGGCAAAGTCAGCAGCTGGAGAAAAGCAGCTGGTTTCCCGGGGGTTGGGGGTGGGGAGGTGGGGGGAGGAGGGGAGAGTGTTTTGCTGAGGACTCCCTGCTTCCTTGAGCTTCCTGCTGGGAAACACCCAGGGGATCCCAGACTCTTCCGACAGGCACCTGGGGGGTGTTTCTAGTGTTGTTCCTTGCGAGCAGGGGTCTCCATTGAAGCTTGGAAACGTTCTCCAGGAGGTTGGGCCCCTCTTGCTTGGGCATGTTTTCTGCTGCCTGTCCCCAGAGAAATGTCAGCTTTGGGGGTAAAAGGAAGGAAAAACAGGGGACAAGTGTTGACAGGCCTTCTCAGGCTGGTAGGCCTGCAGGATTTGGGGGCTGCCTCTGGGGCATCCTGACACCACACATCCTGTCACCACACAGTAAATATCACTTTATTGTGCCACCAAGTTTGAAGAGAGAAATAAGAGGCAGTTGCGAGTAAAGGAACTAAAAGTCGCTCCCATTTGCATGGCATTTTGCAGTTTGTAAAGATTTCTTAAGCATGTCCTCATGTGACCCTCCCGACCACCCTGGGAGTCAGGGAGGGATCATCATTCCCACTCAACAGATGAGGAAGCTGAGCTCAGGTGGGGTGACTCGCTCCACGGAACATCTGGGTTCATAGCTCGGTTGTG